CTTTTCCATTGTCTTTCTGACACATATTATTTATGCAATTTTTTTCACCAGTCTATATTATAGTAAACACTTATAGCTACCCATTGCATTAAGCAGAACCTGAATCCGACATTTCTTACCAGTTTTATGAGAATTGCCGCTTAGGTGACCGCCATTACCCCGTTTTACCCTGTAAGATTTGACTATGAATACCGGCCTAAGACGCAATTTTCGGGGCGCGGTCGGCCCGCGGCTGGAAAATGCAACGCGAGGATATTCGGTAACGTGATAATAACAGTTCGAGTGGGGAACATGATAGCGCGCGCGGGGCGGTAAGTTAATAAGGTTATTAGCGTTGCGCCAACGTCACGATTATTGCGGTTGTTTTGATGTAACGTTGTTCTACTTCGCAATGTTGCGTGATATCATCGGACTGTAATTGCAATTAGCGGTGTGCGTTGTCAGCGACGGATCGTTACTCGCTTACCTCTCGCGCTGATCGCCCGACGATCGTTCGTTCTCCGCCGCCCCCAAGAAGAACAGAATAGTCAATTTGACGTGATATTGGGCAAATTTTCGTCAATTTTCGATTGATATATCTCGATGACTCAAATATGGCTTTACACTCGTTTTTATTGGGTCTTTTTGATTTTTCAGGAATGTGGCTCACGTTTCTCGACTTTATATGTTGTTAAGGATTCGAGGCCACGTCGAGGGCCTAGCGGAACGACTACCAGCCTGGTCGAACCCCGGGTTGTCCACCCGTCAGGCGCGGCCCTCTCGACGGCGTCCGCGCTCGCCTGTCGCTTCCGCAGACTAAGTTCCTCTACGGACTTAGTCTCTCGTGCGACACAGTCGCTTATTTTCCGCAGACTAAGTCCTCGTTGAACTTAGTCTCGTTAGCGATCATCTTCTCGACAAATAGCGCCTTCAGGCCGCAGAGCACGGTCTCCGGTTCGTACTTCTGGTCCTTCTAAGGGCGTTACCTCGGAAGCACCGAGCGTTCAATACGAAACATATATATGCTTATTATAATGAATATGTATGATATAAGAGTAATCAAGGGAAAGTCACGGTGTAACCGTTCAGATACCAGTGTTCGTAAGAATTGGCCCGAGTTACTGATCGAAAGAACGTAAAACGTTGGTATCTTCTTTATAAGACTTGCGAATCTCAAATTTGCGTCTTAATTTCTTTCTTTCGGTATCAATTGTAACTGACAAATATTGATTTCTTTTCCTTCGCACAATAATAGTGATTTCTTTTTTTATTATTAACAATATTAATGATTTATTTTAATGTGGGATGTATTTTACTTGTCCAAAGCGTAAAAGAAATAATTGCCAGAAGTTTCGCTCGACTCTGTTGTCTGTAAAAAAGTTGTTGCACGATAAGAATCTTTGTTATTCGCGTTACATATTATTTCTTATTTTTAATATCTGCCAATGAATATGTCATTACATAATGTTTCGCGAAGACCTAGCATATATTATATAAACACAAGTCACAAGGATGTCGTCAAAGTTACCGGAGTTTAATCTATTAGCTATTGGCTATTGGAGATCTAATTATACATAATTATCTGTGAAATATGTATTAAATAATTATATACGGGCAAATTTCATGCATAACTTCGTATAATTATGCATAGTTATATATATTTATACATGATTATGTATGAAATATTTCTTAACGGAGTGAGATCAAGGAAACAGAAAACAGAAAGTTGGTGCAACTTGACGTCATTTCGACGAACTAAATTTGAACATAATTTGACATCACTTTGACTTTTCTGTTCTCTTCGAGAAGATGCGCCCAAAATGAACTCGCGCGCAAAATCACTCCGGTGCAGCGCGCTCGTATGCGTACATCGCGGTCGGCGCGCTCTTTCGCTCGCGTGAGCGAGCCACAATATAAATACGTGAATAAAATCCTCGCGCGCGTAATCCGCATCAGATTGTATCGTAACGGGAGGGAGCACAATTCGCTTTGAAATATTGATCTGTGCGAGTCGCGACGCTGTATTCGCGATACGCATTAAAACGAAGCACGCTGATATTTGCCTTGTTTTCCACGACCCGTCGATGCTATTTATATCGATACGACGAAAACGGTGTCACGTGTGCCACTTTCGATCGCTCGTTTGCTTCAAGTTACAAAAACAGCCTCTTACATAAATTAAGTAATTCCAATGCAAAGCGGCCGACGTATATCGTCACCTAACCTTTCTTTCTTATTTAAAGTTAACACGATTCATAAGTATATGAAATTTTATTTTGGATGATTTACTTATGCTTCATTTAAATTCAGTGGCTTACGAGCAGCATGTATAAAGAACACTCTGCTTATTATTAAATTTCTTACTATTGCTCAGCGTAACTCAGATGTTAACCCTTTTAATGCCGGGAGCCGATATATCGGCTCCTGCTACACCGGCGAGAAGTGCCAGAGCCGATATATCGGCCCGCACCTTGTAGCGCTTTACTATTCGCATTGCGAGAGATCTCTATCAAAATAAATTTAAAATACGTTATAAATAGTCTAATTTCATTACGAGAGAATTAAAATAAATAATTTTTAAATATTGCTTTTCGTTTGGTTTTTATGAGCCTTTTACCAAATCCTAGTAAAATCGGCCGTTATCTTCGCATAAGCACCTCTTTTTCGCCCGGCACTAAAAGGGTTAAATAATAGAAATGTTGTTGTATGATAAGAATCTTTGTTATTCGCGTTACATATTATTTCTTATTTTTAATATCTGCCAATGAATATGTCATTACATAATGTTTTGAGACCTAGCGTATACACTAGCATACATTATATAAGCACAAGTCACAAGGATGTCGTCTAAGTTATCGGAGTTTAATCTATTAGCTATTGGAGATCTAGTTATACATAATTATCTGTGAAATATGTATTAAATAATTATATATGGGCAAATTTCATACATAACTTAGTATAATTACGCATAGTTATGTATATTTATACATGATTATGTATGAAATATTTTTTAACGGGGTGAGATCAAGGAAACAGAAAACAGAAAGTTGGTGCAACTTGACGTCATTTCGACGAACTATGTTAACGTGTCACTAGTTTTTCAATGTTAATTTTTTTTAATTCTTCGGCATCCTTTCCCAGAGCCAAACCCTGAATGAAATTTTCGGTGTTTCTTGTTTGAATTTGCTATGCCCAATTTTTATAGGAGTTTACTCTCTGCAGATTTATTTTGCGGTGTCTAAAAATGAGGGATTTTTAAATAGAATTTTCTAGGTTTTTTCTAAAAATTATTTTTCAATCACTTTTTCATGTGCCCAATTTACCCTGATTCAGAAATAATATTTCATATACTACTTTCGTATTTTCATCAAACGACAACACATTGAATGATAATCGTGTCGCAGGGGTCGACTCGGATTCGTTTAATAATTAGCTGATTCTGCTTTATTTTTGCAGCGAGTCGCCTGCGTCGTGTTCAAAATATCCGGTTGGGAAGGCGAGAAATGGATATCTGTCCGAGAAAAACAGAGAGAGAGAGAGAGAGAGAGAGAGATCTGTTAGCGAGATCTTGCCTTCGCGCAGAAATAACGTTGGAAAGTTGTATTCGCGCGATGGAAACTCCTGGCTTTGCAATCGCGCCCGGCGTTACCAGGACTGGCAGTTTTCCCGATTTTTGCCGAATTGCTCCATTTTTTTTATTAAATTCTCTACACATCGGCACCTAAAAAATATCGGGCGGTCCGTTTTTTCAATCTTCAAATCGTACAAATCAAATCCGGCCCGGCGAAGATCGTCGGACTGGCCGAGTGGCAATTAACCGACGTATTCTCGCTCGATCGGGATGGATCGTAAACACGTTTATGGATGGTGCTTAGATAAAAGAAAAAAAAAAATGGGAAAACGCGCTGAACGAAAGCCAGGTGTGCACCATGTAACCTTTCATTCTTACGTGAACCCATAAATGTCACGATGAAGATATAATTTCCCTCGTACGCGCGCTCGTTTCGGTAATGTTCCATCCAATAACAGAGATGTTCCGCGAGGTTCACGTCAGAAGATATAGGACACACGTTGGCCATCTCGTCCGAGTGGCCTTATATATCGGGGATGAAAAATTCATGGGGCTCGATGCAACGTCCAATCTTGGGTATTTATTACATGTAAGATACATGTGTCCGTATTACCGCTCAAAAAAACACGACAACGGCGTGCCGCAATGGCGTTTAATACCTCAGCGTTATCTCGACGAAAGTCTCCCAGTGAGAAGAGGAGATTCGGTGGCTTCAATAATTATTAGCAGCCGCAAAACCGAGATTTATATAAAATGCTCTCTTTTTGTTTTGTTTTATATTAGGGATCTCGTTATAAATGATCAAATATTTCAAAATAAAAAGCACGTTTAAAAGTCTGTTAAAGTGTTTCAAGTATATAGTATCTCAAAATGAAACACGTTTGATGTCAATAGACATCTTATATTTCAGTCGAGGATGTGAGATATAAGTTGATTACATTGTCAAGTAACATATTGATAAAATAATATTTGTAGAGCGCACAGTTCAAGTATAGAAAATGATAAGAATAAGAGCCTTGTAAATATTTGATCACTTATGGACCTCTGACAGTTTGATAATGTTGGTAATAATCATATTTAAATATAATGCTCCATATCACTAAAAATATTTTCTATATTATATATAATATATAAAATAAAAAATATATATTTTTTTTACATATCAGGGATATCTATAAGTAATCAAATATTTCCAGATGAAACACATTTCAAGTCGATAGACAGAGCTTTTGTTTTTCAAACAATGAGTTTAAGTCAAATACTTTATGTGAGTAGCACAACAATTATAGGAAGGATAAAAGTAAATACTTGCTTCTCCATAGATATCCCTAATACTTTTAACGCCAGTAATTATCGCATATTTAAATAATGCTAATTACTAAAATATGTTATATATCGCATGTATAAAATAAAAAATCTATTTTTACACAGTTTATACATTAGAGGTGCCTGTAAGTGATCGAGCACTTCAAAATAAGACATATTTCAACAGACGGAGCCTTTTATTTTGAGAACAACGATGTAACTAATCGAAAGCTTTATCCAAATAGTATACTAAAAAAATATTATTTATAGCGCGGATCAAGAGTAGTTACTGATAAGAAGAAGAATAAATATTTTATTACTTATGAGTATCCCCTAATAAATATCAGATAGGACAGGACTGTGTAAGATTGATGGCATACAGTGCGCACCGATATCGGGGAGATATCCGAGGCGATATTCGAGGAGATATCGATTATCGCGTCGGCACAAATTGGGAGATAATTGTTTGAGCCAGCTTGTGCGCGCCAGTCTGCTACTCCAGACTGGACAATATCGTGGAACGGGAATTTAATAAAGCTCCGACTTGGACACTGCGTAGAGCGTGGCTGAAAGAAATGGACGTGGAGCGTGTCCAGCATGCACAGCACCCTCTTCCCTCCACTCCTCTATCAGCCGATCCCCGTTGCAGTTCCCAATTCCTCTCCTCTGTCTGGCGACTACCTCGGCGCTCCGCTTATTTTCCGATCACGCGCATAAAGCTCCGGGATAAAGCGAAAGCTATCGAATCCGGCGCCATATGCCGGATTTCCGGACTTCCTTCTTCTCTGTTTCTTTTCGCCAGACGCTACCCCTCTCCTCCCTTCCCGGGGCGAAAATGTACTCAACCAGCGCTTCTCTTTTGCTTTCTCGTTTCTCCATTTATTTATCGAATAAGATAAAAATATACAATTTCCTTCTCTCGTGTTCTTCGTCGTGATGGGTGAATTTCGAGTGAGGTACCTCGATGCGGCTAAAATGCATTACACGTGTCGGATTTGCCCTTATTTGGATATTACAGCTTGCGAATCGCGGCCTTCCTTAGTTTGCGATATTCACTCACGGCATTGTATGTATCTTTATTGCGTATCGTACATCGGTAGTATCACAGAAAATATCGTATCGTACACAATACAATGCGAATTTTTCCTACAACTCGCGGCAGATCGATCGATCTCCCTAAATAATGGTAATTGCAGAGATTAGAGATTTACGCACGTTAGGAGACGTTTTCTTATTGTCATGAATCAATTGTTAACGTGATTGTATTCTAATAACTCTAATTCTAATAATAAATCTTACATCGGTATCGGGTTCGGACATGCTTGTTTACATAAATTAATATAAAAACTCCTGGCAATTGTTACATCGGCAAAAATAACGAAATAAATACGATGAATGTTTAATAAACGAACGCTCGAAATTTAGGTCGACTATATTACAAATACATTATTGACACGCGAATAACAAGATTCGTGAGATGATGGAAATCATTTATATTAGTATATCAAGTAACTTCGTACAAATATAGAATATTTTAGCGATTGATCCCAATAATTTCGTCGATTTTATTAAACATGCATAAATACCTCGACAGTAAAAAGAAAAAGTGACACTTTTAGCTCGTACGTACAATTAATGAGATTTACAAGACTTCATTTATAAGCGACGAGTATCAACTTAGGTTAAGAAAATTAAAATTTCGAAAACTGCAACAAACAATCGTACCAATGGGGATTTTCCGAAGGTAGTGATAAATATAACAATACGTTGTTAACAACATACATACATACATCGGTAATACGATAAAATACAACGAAATAAAGATTAAAAAAATAAAGATAAAATATAACGAATTAAAGATAAAAAAAAAAGATCTTATCAATAGATAGAAACTTAATAGTATCAATAATTCCTTGGATATATTACGTCTACGATTATCTGATAAGTCATGTCATATATTCCATCTGTATGTTATTTTTTTGTTCTTAACATCAATAGAGCCTTGATAGAAGCAGTACTTACATTCCTATAATTTAAGCGTATGTGCACATGACCTCGTCATTGATTTTAGTTTTAGGAAGGCAATGTGTTGTATATTTAATTAATCTGCTCTACAGATAATCTTATATCAATGTGTTTTACTGCTCGTTCAGTTAGAACCGTCGCGCACGCAAAGCTCTGTCGCCTGTCTTGTACATTCCGCCGGACAATCCTTTCCCATTGTCCCCGACTTTAAGTCGATATCGCTAATGTTCGCTCTCGGTAGTGGTTCCTCGTATTTGCATATCACAGCGTACATATCGCCACCTAAGCGACGAGCTAGCCACCGATTTTTAATAACCGCCAATTTCAGGCATTCGCACTTCATTTTGGCATGAAGATTCGTGTGCAAAGTTCTACCCATTCCTTCGATAACTATAAGATCCACGTTATGCTTCACCATCGCAAGACACAGATCCAAACTCAGACGACTGTCGAATGTTGAAATAATATTAGTAAACACAATTCACATCATGAGCAAAATAATCGCATTGACCCTCGATATACCATTCGATTTAATTTTTGGTTTTGACTTTCTCTCGGTCGCGAAGATCAGTATTTTTCATTACTATCATTCCTTTATGGAGATCCTTCCGAAAGAACGGAGAAGGAAATGTTCCAAATCATAAATAGGAAAAAGATGTAAAAATATTTACTCATTTCTCTTAATAAAATAAAAATCACTCAGGTTCGGACGTGCTCGTTTATGTGAAAAACCTCTGTCTTGAAATTACCATAATATGGTACACCAAGGGTCAAGAGACGCACCTCAGATCCAGGCAAGGACCAGCTTGCGCGGTTTCCATGGCGATAAGTGTACTGTTTTCCAAAGCACGTTTGATAACGTCGCAAATTTTTGCGGCGTCCCGCAGCGTTACGACCAATTCGGGATACGTCACGTCATTCAAGGCCGGCATTGAATTAGCGCACAATATTACCTAAAGTGTAATATTGTTATCAGAGCTGTTCTACCTCAACGACAAACTGTCTCAAGAATGATACTGTTGTTAGAACTAACTTTCGTTCCTCGTTGTAACAGATCACGCGCGAATGGCAAGATTCCGAGAACGATATCCACGCCGCTGTTGTCGACGAAAATGGCCGCGCACTTGTGAGGTGGTCCGTTTTGTAATCTGTTTATCCAACTGTCCAGATTGTCCTGCAGCCACGGTCTACCTGCACTCACGTGACAAAACGTGATCTTTCATACCTCGCCATGGCGCAGCGATTAACAAAGCTGATCATTTTACCTGGAATTCTCGCCTGAGCTTCTTCGAAGCCGAAGTCAGTGGTTTCCAACAGTTGCGCGACGTCCTTCGCACCCCAATCAAATATATTGCCACTGAGAACGCCCAGGATTAAATCTTTTATCTTTTCCGCACCTTCTAACTTATCCAGAGCCGTGATGCGATCCTGCAGATGTCTCAGTGCTTCTTCATTCTCTTTTTTCTTTTGCTGTAAACGGGAAAGTTTAGCGTAACGCGCGCGAGCGATCTCTTCACGATTTCATCAAACATATCAAGAAGGTTACTTACATGTAAATATGGATCTGGAAAGTCAAACTCTTTCATGCAATGTTCAATGGTATCTAATAATATTCTAACAGTAAGCGTTCCATATGCACTATAAATCAGTAAGACACATCACTTATTTTCTCCCACGTAATTAATTTTGTACTACTCGCAACGATGAGAACTTACAATGGCTGCGCATGGAGGTAGTGTAACCTATTAATATATTTCTCTTTGAGTTTCGACGCTCTGTCTTTCGCGGTTGGACTGTGTGGTTGACTATGAATAGCTCGCGCCACGAATTTATCAACGGATTCCTCGAAACACTGCAGCCAATAATCCCTGTAAATATATAAATTATTTGTCAGTTATACATATGTGTGATTCATCCCATGCAGTGACGAAGGAAAAAGAATGAAGAAAGAAAGGAGAAATTAAGTAAGAAATTGGATAAAACTCTCACCTGGCTTCTTTATCTTGAGCGAGGTCTGTAGTATCAGGGTTATAGGTTGCGGGGTCTTTCAACAGGGGACAAAATGTGACAGCATTTTCCGCTTGATCAATTTCCAATTGATCAACCTTAATTCCGAGGTCACTCGACACGGAATCCTTAAAACCCGACGACCCAGCGTAGTTTTCCAACCAGCTGCATTTATCTGATTGTTCAGTGCCGTATAAAAACGCCCCAATCGCGCCAAGGTAACCTTCATGGCGAAGAAAGAGAGGCTTTACCTTACCCTAGATAATGGGTATATATATGTGGTAATAACACAAATATTGAGAAACATATACATCTTATTTATCCTACATATAACTAAGTTACGATATCTTGATAAAAAAAAATATATATATATATGTATATAAATATCTGTCACAGAAACGTCGCATAAAACATAGAAGAGACATGCGCAGAGACTAACGTGAGACCAATATTTGATGGAATATGAAATGGTGTGCATTGATAGTGGATGGTTACGAAGGAAATAACCACCGAAGTAAACCTTATCCATATTGTACACGGTGGCGTATAGACTAGCTATTTGGCCAATATCATTGCTAATGGTGAACAACAAACTCCTCACGAGGTCAGCCTCGGAAAATGTTGGCGGTCCTGAAATGTTACTGAAATGTTACAGGTTCGGAAAAAAAAAAAAAAGAGAACAAGAAAGTGAAAGATTTCCGATGGCAAACTTATATGAATGTATGCTCACCACAAGACACTGCCTTGCCGAAAGATGACGCAATAAGGTCTCCGGGTAAACCTTGAGAGGAATAATCACCTCCATAAATATCTTTCACTAACATGTCTACATTACGGTGATCTCCCTGTTCTGCAAGTTGCAGCAATTCGTCAAAGCCCTAGCAGGGTATTTTTAAAGCAATACTTTAATATATATTTATATATATACATATACTATTCGCACATGACTCAACGGTGCTACAACAAGGCGGAGTTCTTTCATATTGTGTAATAATTCGTATGATTTAAATTCTAACGTAAACACACGAAGATTAAATGAAAGTAATTCAGTAAGATACACCAATCGAGATGTTACTGAAATAGTTCTGTAAGGGTAATGACACTGTACGCAAGCAAAAGAGATCATATAAATTCAATACCTTTCTCTTTGTGAGCAAAGATCCCAGCCCCCAAAATGTACCACCTCCTGTAGCTGTACCCCCAACTCTTTCAAATACCTCATCGGATTCTACCTGAAAGAGAAAAGAGAAACAAAAAAGATTCATAGCGACTCATGAACAGGCACGCTTGCTAGATATCTCTTACTTACTTTAAGAATACTGACACCACTGCCAATATTAACCAGCAGATATGGAAATATATTAGGGGTGGCTTTTTGAAAGTTATATTCTGGATTTGCGTGTCGCTCATATTCAAAGGCTTCGGAGGGTATGTTTTTCAGTAAAAAGTTGCAACCTTTTATAAGGCAATCAATCTCATCTTCTTTGTCGACTCTGAAATTTTATCTTATCAATCTGTAAACTGGCACAATCTTTTCAGCAGCCTCGTGTTTCCTCCTATTAGATATGTAATCTTGGCTCTTAGTATCTTACACGACAAAACAATATATGTAAAGATGGTAAAGATGATAAAGATGTAAATCTGGGTCGAAGAAGTGTCTTTATATTTATATATTAACACACACGCACGCGTGTGTGTGTGTGTGTGTATATGTGTTACGCAAAATTCAATAATAGCATATTATAGTGTATGTGTATGTGTGTGTGTGTTAAGCAAAATTCAATAATAGTAATAATGCTTACAACAATCCTAATTTTTCTTGCAGCAATGGAGTATATTTAAATGCCCCTCCTCCGGTTATTTTAATACTTTTGCCATGAAACCGGTCAGCGTCCACTAAATTCTCCTTGACAAAATCTAGGCAGTTCTCGATATATCTCGTTTCAAACTTAACAAAATGCAGTCTATTACCCTCGAATACTTTGTACGCTCGTTCCCCACTATTTCCCAAGCCTGCATTTTCATAAAGCGCCTTGCGATAACTTATCGTCGAGTAATACGCAATTTTGGTAAGCGACAAACCTGGAACAACGTGAGGAAGTTGAAATGTATACACGGGCGAGGAGTGACAACACGGTGGATTCGACGAGCATTGGGCGGTGACGGAGTGTGTAACCTTAGAGTCGGATCGCGGAGCGTCCTGTTTTCGTTCGACGTCGATCGGGCCTCGATTACGTACCGATGTCGATCGCGAACGTTTGCGCGTTCCTCAAATTGGCGAACACTTCGACGGTGGGGGGTAATTCGATGCACTGCGGGTGTGACTGCTCGCCGTCGAGCTCCGCTGCCATTTCCATCCGTCAGACGACGACCTCTCGGTTCTCCCTGGCTGTCTTTCCCGCGCGGCGGTCTGCGTTCATCTAACGGTTGACAGTTGACAAATGTATCCGCATCACGACGTTGAAGTAAATACAATCACGTAGAGATTCGAGCGCGCTCTCCAACTGAGAGATCAATCATACAAAACAATCTCGAATGACTCGGCCTGTCCGGATCATAACACGTGTACGCAGTTAGTAATCAGCAACTGTTTATCTCCGAACTTTCTCTTTCTCTCTCTCTCTCTCTCTCTCCCCCTCTCTTTCGCAATATCTAGCTCCAGCCTAGCAAGGCATATTCTCCCCTTCTCTCAACGCCACAATTTCTAAATATCTTCGATGATGGACGGTTACAGATAAACGATGTTACAATCGAAATTTTTTTCTGACAAATAGACCAGCCGTTTGATATTTTCAAACCCGATCGCGAGCCAACGTTGATAGCTGCTTTTTTTAATTAGATGCCACTCAGATTAGTTTAATTAGTTTAAGACCTGCGAACTAACATATTTTATCATATACATTGTTAATACAGGGCGTACATGCATTCACCGTGCATATTACCGTTGCATTTAATGTGACCGATATCACCGATTCTTCTCGACATCAACGGTCATAATGTAAAAATACGTAGGTACGACGCGCCCGAGTCGAGATATTCTAATAACAGAGGTGGGATGTTTTATTGGAGTTTGCCATGGCTGTGTTCACTTTGGGCACTATGAGCGACATTCTATCTTTAGGTCTGTTCGTGTTGCACTTTTCACACTTTTACACCTAACGCCCATTGCACATTGGCCTCTCTTCAAAATGAAATGCTGTCATTGGATATCGCTCATCGCGTTCGGTGTGCAATGGGCATTAGGTTCAAAAGTGCCAAAAGTGCAAGCAACGCGAACGAACCTTTTATTGTTTATTATACGCCGAAAGGAGATAGAATGACAGCGCGTAAACGCTCGAAGAGAACGCAGCCTAAAATAAGAATGTCAGATTTTGGCTGGTATTCATAGGTCCATGTTTCTAACTCACTTTTAATCACGATAAAAGTACCTTAAGGCCGATATTCATAATCGAATTCTATATATAAAACAGTCTTAAGTTCATCTAGATACTATCCTCATTTCATTGGCTACGAAGCATCTGAAGATAAACTTAAGACTGTAAGTTTATCTTCAGATGTTTCGTAGCCAATGAAATGAGCTATAAAGTATCTGAAGATGAACTTAAAATGGTCTTAAATCATAGTCGGATCTTATATCTAAGATCGTCTTAAATTCATCTTCAAATGCTTCGTAGCCAATAAATTGAGCCATGCAGTATCTAAAGATGAACTTAAACGATCTCGTGTATAAAATCCGATTATGAATACTGATCTGACGTCAATTTGATTTTTGATTCTCAGCATGATTTTCCGTTCTACCTGAGTTGATAGTCATCCCCAACAAACTGAAAATTTATACCATACGTAATACGAACTATAGATTATCAAAAATTGGCAGCGAATATCGGAACTCAGCCAATTCAGCGCTCTTCCCCTACTTCCTTCTTTGCGGCTAGTCACAAGTTCTGATTAGTATAGTCTGTGATGAATCGTCGATTAGTTTGATCAAAATTTGGAGAAAGTTATTCTGATGCCAAAGGAAGCTATCGGGTCAAAATAGAAGACGCGGTAAGGGTTAAAATCGTTAAATAAATATTACTCGCACGCGACAATAGACGAATGTTTCAGCTATTTTATCACTAGAGAACCAAGATCAAGGTTATAAAATGAGAACTATTATGCTAGAGAAAGTTGAGCTTTTTTTTATATCATATCTAACACAACCTGTACGTGCACCTGTACATATAGAGTTCATCAAATTCAGTGATAAGTTTTATATTATTTTATCAATAATCGCAACAGTTATTGAGATGTTAATTAAAGAAAATTAACAAATAAGTGCGTACGCAATGCGGTAGGACGAGCTCCTTAAGCAAAAGGTGCATTCTGCTTCACGCATATGCGCACATTTATCTATAGTACCTGTGACATGACTATAGATAATACGCTTGCGGCAAAATGCGCCAAAAATCTCGTCCGAAATGTCGGAATCCATTAACGGTCTCTTGGCAATGGCGGATGATGAGTAATGTTCAGATAATATATGCGCTAAACCGATGATTCGTCTCCTTTAACATGTCCCCGAAAACTAAACTTGCGAATGATTATCCAATGAGCGTACTGTTTTTACGGAACAGTACGCTCATTGGATATTCACAAGTTAACTCGGAAGTTTACATATATAAATATTTACGAATGATTCAAGAATCAAATACGTCCATAGTCCGTTCTTTTTAGCTGAACTTGTTACACTAGTTCAAGAAATTTACATACACACATTGAAGCGTATAAAATGTACGTATGAGATTCTCACGCTTCAGTGTGCGTACATTTCTTGAACTGGTGCAGTTAGTTCAGCTAAAAAGAAAAGGCACTAATGCGTTAGCCCCGGTCCTCAATCTTGCTGTGAATCGTAAGTCATAAGAAATTGACTAGTCACAATCGACTTATTCTTCTCACATTCGACTGTGATTGGTCAATTTCTTACGATTTACGGCTTAAAACAAGATTATAGACCAGAGTTTATATAGAAGCTGCAAATCATATATATAATCACAGACACTTTTCAACTTGATTGTACGATAAAGAGAGGAAGCCCTAAAGTTGCTTCTCTCTGTTGGCTTCATTTTTCTAGGCCCAGTGTTTCTCCTAGTTTAGGTACATTTTTCTCTCCCCTTCTCAATGCTTGTATATAAATCTATATTTTCGCATAGTCTCTTTGATAACATTACAATTGTGCACTGTTATCGGCAAATATTTCTTGATAAGATAATTATCGAAGACAAGATGAAGTCATCCAAATGTGACAGTGATCATTAAAGTGTAAAGATTGTAAGGCTATGAGACATGATGACGATTAAGTGTGTCACTATGTCAGTTTTTAATATCTAATTATTAGGAGTAAATATTCGTCATTTTAGACAATTGTTTGGGTCATTGTAAATACTGTTTTCTATTCCAAGAACAACAGATTTTGAAAAGAAGAGATAGATGTCGAATGATTCATTAGAGTTATAAAATATCATTTAACTCAAATGTGCACTTATCAGACCTCTAATGAATCATTCGATATCTATCTCTTCTTTTCAAAATCTGTTGTTCTTGGAGTAGAAAATAGTATTTACAATGACCCAAACAATTGTCTAAAATGACGAATATTTACTCCTAATAATTAGATATTAGAAACTGACATTGTGACACACTTAATTGTCATCATGTCTCATTGTTATATTGTTCTATATATATATTGTTCTATGTATATATTGTTCTATGTATAAGTATAATATCATTAATAACATTAAATATATTAATAACAAAGTAAATATTAGATTTGCAGCCTAATTGTTGCTAACTTTTATACTTTTATACAGGACTGATTGGTTGTTTAAACAATTGAAGCATGGATCCATTTCAAAGTGAAATATCTAAAATAGAGGAACCATCTGTTTTTTGTCCTACGGAAAATTTAAATAGTTTGAGTGATTGTTTAATATCATCCAAGTTGGAAGATTATCTTACTGATAATGGTGGTAATGATTCTCAGGAGGAAACAGAACCTATGTCCTTTGTAGTGTTAGGAAAAGATTCGTTGGATGCTATTCAAGCTTCTTCATTGGCTTCATACGTTGACATTCAACAGAAAAGCATGTCGGTTGTATGTATATTGCCATTTTATATCATTTTGATCATTACTTTTAATGTTTCATGTATACATCTTTTTATATGTAACTGATATTAAAACTAATAAAATCAAGATATATACATACAATATTATTTTAAAATAAAAGAATATGTTGGTCTTGATATAGGATTATAATAGCATGATATCGTCATTGGCAACAAGTGAGGTACATAAAAAACTAGTAGATTTCTTGAAAGAAAACACAGAATTGAAGGAGACTCTAAAGCAAAATAGTTCAGCCATGAAAAAGCAATTTACCGTCCTGAATACGTGGCATAACAAGCTGGTGAATTTGCAAGCAACCCATAATAAAAAGTTCAAAGAAACTACCAGCTTAATCAATAATCTTAAAAAGGAGAATTTGGAGCTAAAAACTAAACTTGCTATGCAACAGACTCAAGACTTGGAAACTAACTGGATAAACTTGGAGGTATACAAACACTAGAAATATGATGTAAAATATAGTATATCATCAGTACAATATCAGTATATTATACATTCTTTTTTTTTCCAGGCGATTGTCACAGCTAATCGGGGCAACAATACAACTTCTACTGATAAAAAATTTATAATATTATCTCAAGCTGAAGCTTCTGCATTATTCCCTCGTGAACAGGAAAAATATGCATCGCTTAATGATCTGAAATCTGGACTTTCTATGCAGCAGAGTGAGATAAAACACAACTCTGAGGTGTGAAAATAATAGCAACATAACATATTTACAATATGTGTCAATATATATTATATATTCTGTTTTTCTTTTTAGACAATTGATACAGCTTCTAGTTTTGGTAGTAACAATACTTCCGCTTATGAAGTAGTAACTCAGATTGAAGCGTCTGCATCGTGTGCACCTGAAGAGAAAGAATATGCTCTGCCTGATAAGCAGCATATTAGTCAGCGTTCTTGCCAGGATTTAAAGAAGGAAGCTGATTGTCATGTAAATATGTGTAATTTCCAGAAATTAGATAATACTTATACCAAACAAAAAATAATGGAACAAAAGTCACTATTGGGAAACGATGAGAGACAAATACCACGTGAATACGATACAAGTAATGAAAATTCTTTCGTAAAATTTGAAGAGTCTAATCCAACAATCGACCATATAAATAAGGTAATGTTGTAATATTGCTTTGATATGATATGCATATATATATGTACATACAAATAGATCGTTTTATTACGCATTCTGGGAAAGATTCCCCNATATACATACACACACACATATACATATATATATATATATATATATATATGATAGAGAGAGAGAGAAAGATTTTGATTGATTGATTGATTGAACTTTATTTAGCTTTCTCAGCTATTACAAATATGTTTCTTTAGTAGCCGTCGAAAAACATTAATTTGATTACAATGCTTTATTTCCGTTGGTAAGACATTATACATTTTTACACCTTCATAAAATATTGACTTTTGTGCGCTCCTGGTTTTACGTAATTGCAGTATAATGTCTCCTGCCTGCCTTGTTAGCCTCTCCCCTTCACCTCCCACCATCTCTAGCTTATTTCTCAAATGCTCAGGCAACATACCATTTAGGATTAATCTTAAAAATAAATGTACATATATTATACCTTAATCTTTGCCTAACAGACATAAATCGCAGCGTCTGCAGCATTAACTCCACTCTGGTATATCTGTCACATTGCAATATAATTCTCATTGCCCTATTTTGCGCCACTTGTAACTTATCCAGCTGTGTCTCACTCATTCCTATTAATAACGTCGCACAATACTCAAAATGCGGTGCAATGATTGTTTTATAAATTATACACCTTGTATATGCTGATACAAAATTACCAATTCTATTTAAGAAACTCGCTTTCTTCCCTATTTTCTTTAGTATATGCTCGCAATGATCTGTAATTTTCAACCTATCGTCAATAAATACACCTAAATATTTCATTAAACTAACCCTTTGGATTTCAATCCCATCCAGACATTTCAATACAATATTCCCCTTCAATTCTTTCCTTACGCTTCTAACAACCATATACTTGGTTTTCTCTGCATTCATTTCTAACATGTTTATATTCATCCATTTCTCTGTTATATTAAGCGCAATATTCAATTTTCTCTCTAATTCTCCAGTACTTTCACCTTCTACATACACTACCGTATCATCTACAAACGTTTTTAAACTGCAATAACCTGAACTCGCATTTATTATATCATTCGTGTATATTATAAAAAGCAAGGGTCCCAATACGGAATCTTGTGGTACACCATATTTTGTAATCCTTAGCTTGGACCATTCATTTTTGAAACGCACTCTTTGCATCCTACTTAATAGATAGGATCGTAACCATTCTAAGACTATTCCCCTAATTCCATGTTGTTCCAGCTTCTCTAGCAACTTTTTCCTATCTATTGTTTCAAACGCTCATTTTAGATCCATAAAAATTACCTTTACCATCTTTTCATTAATTATCAATTTCCAGTCATCAATAACACTCTGAATCGTCGCCTCACACGAATGTTTTCTTCTAAAGCCCGCTTGATGTTCTGTCATAATACTATTATCTTCTAGATACATTTCAAGCTGCTGCTTCACTACCAACTCTAATACTTTCTCATATATAGGTAACATATTAATCGGCCTATAATCACTTGCTTTTACCGCTTTGCTTATCTTGAGTGTCGGTATTATTGTTGATGTTTTCCAACTTTCTGGAAAACATCCTTTCTGCAGAGAGCTATTTATCAAATCAAGGAACTCCTCACTTAGAGTGTGAAACGCTGCCTTTAATATATCATTACTTATTCCCTCTTCTGTACCTTTCTTACTCGGTAGATTCAATACAAGTTTCTCAAGATCATCCATTTTTACTATATCAAAATTTTCCATAATTCCCCTGTTTTCAATAACATAAATAGTTTTTTCCATTTTACGCTCACCTCCTGAGCTATTTCCTTTTATACTACTTATTATATTATCTATATTCTTTATATAATATAAATTAAATTTATCCGCTGTATTGCCTCCTTCCGCGTCGCATAACGATTCAAAATCTATATTCTCATTTTCTTGTAAACATAACGGTTCACCTTTAACTAGTTCTTTCAACGTTTTCCACATTACTGTAGCATCACTTTTATTATAATCTATCCTCTTTTCATAATGTTCTCTTTTCTTTTTCCTAATTAAACTAACTACATTGTTTCTTTGAATTTTATATTGCACCCAAGCCTGCTCTGTATTCACATACAACGCATTTGTGTAGACCTTATCCCTTCTTGCCGCAGCTTCTCTTATTTCCTCTGAATACCATTTTTTCCCCTCCCATATTTTTGGAATCTTATAATCTTTCCATGGCGCTACAATATCCAACGTATCTACTATATTATCAGAGAGAGAGAGAGAGAGAGAGAGAGAGAGAGAGAGAGAGAGAGAGAGGGAGAGAGAGAGAGAGAGATCAAATTAAGAGTATTTCAAATAACTATGTATGCATGAGAAATATGCAAGATATTTACCTTATTAATAAATAATGTTGCTTTTACATTTTTCAGCTGATTTATTCTATTGACAAGTGTGATATGGATCCAGCCTGTTGGAATGATGGGGAATACGAAAATAACAGGATGCGTTATAACAATGTGATGCGCGAACTGGTGAAAAACTTCATGGAAGTGATTAATCGATGTAGAGTCCTCACATATTGCTTACGTAATATTGTGACGATATTCGCGCCACTGGAAAGAGATATTGATGAAGGGACGTTCGGAAGCAATTTGGAGTTATTGAAGAAAAAGTTTGTAGAATACCGAACCGAGGCGTCCATCTACAGTCGATTAACATGTCCGGATAATAATATCAATGATCTAACTCTTACATTTTGTGACGCTTTAAAAAATGTGCAAGATCACGTTTATAATGTATTTATGGATTACCGGGAGACCCTTCATATGGTGTACTTAATGATAGACGAGAGTTTGAAAATGACGGATGAATCCGCTGACGAAAACTCTCAGGATAATCCGCAAGAGCAAGCCGAAGTGCGACAAAAATTAAGAATATTGGCTACTCAGCATGACAAAATGCAAAAGGAGAAAGAAGAACTTGAGAAGCAGAAACGCGAACTGGACACTCTAAGTAATTCAATAGAGAACGAGAAGAAACGTGTGCAGGAAATATTCATGTTACGCGATCAACTAATACGACGCAAGAATTTATATGATGGTAAGTTGCGGGCTCTGCTGGACGAAAAACGAACATTGATACGAGACCAGAAGATGGATGTGACTGATCTGCTTGAGAAGTACAAACGAAAGGATATGGAATGTGCAAAGTTACAACATCAGTTAGACCAAAGCGTGAGTGAATTTTCTCTTTAGACTGTTCCAGCTTCTCGCAACGTTACAAGTTCAGATATAAACATAATCTACGGTCACGACACAAGTTTTACACTCACTTTTATAACATTATCTCTTTTTTTTTTGTAGACTTCAGAGATCGGTTTATATAAAAATCAGTTGACCGTGTATGAGGAAGACTTCAGACAAGAGAAAAAAGTGAAGGAGTTATTGCTGGAGGAGAAAAGCAAGTTGGACGAGGAATTAGGGAAGCAAGTGAATTACAACAAGAAACTGCTCGATAGATTGTCATCCTCCAACATTCACGTTGCGCCGGAGCTTGCTTCTCAGTATTCAGTAAGTACCTTTTACCCGTGCTTTTAAGTAAATAAAGAATCAAGTAATATTCTGAAAAGTCAATAAATAAGTCAAAGATTATTCCCCTATTTGTTGCCATACGTCAATGCTCGGAATTAGTTTCACTTTCGAGGCGATTTTCAGGAGCTACGCTTATTTACTTGACATTTCAGCGCGCCCGACGGGCCACGCGACTGATAGTCGCGACAAATAGCCTCAAGACAATTGACATCATAATATCTATGAAACGTTTAATAGCTGAAAGAAATTTATCGAAACAACTCGATGCATAATATTTTTATAAGCTACCAATATATGGTAGCTTATAAAAACTAACTCCGAGCACTGCCACGTACGATTCATTTTGCTCCTTCATGCTTTTTTACGGAAATATCGCATATACTAAATACGTAAATTTTTGTCCTTTTTGCACATGAAAATTTCTGCTTAATTGCAGAGTAAAGAGATAATGCCACCGTGTCCAAAGTGCGAGACAGCATTTGCTACCGTGCAGAGTCTGACGGAGCATATTGAACAATGCTTAAAGCTAAACTTAAGCTAATTAGAGGCTTAGCTCGGACCACTTACCTCGCACTACTCCGATTTTATCGAATATAGCCCTATCGCTACTGTGGATTGTGTCGGCAATATACGTCTTCGTTTCGCTTCCACGGAATTGGAAAGTGCATGCCGCCGATAGACTGAGTTTGGGAGGAAACGAGGATTCACATTCGGAGATGCGGGACACCGCGTGATAAGTTTATCAGCAACTAAAAATCATGTTATCAAAAGTAAAATAACTTGGTCACACTTAAATGCTTCAATTCTTAAGTCAATTTGAGGTTTAATCTTTATACACTCTTTTTTTTTTATCAATGTCAGATTTTAACCATTGTACCTAGAATCTAATTAAGTTAATTTATTAATTTAAAAGGTGGATTCTTTTTTCATCTATGTCTTTACTAATACTTATCCAGAGGAATGTGAAAGTGACGTGGGAAATATTTTACCGAATAATTTAAGGTTTTGTCTTTTCGAAGTACTAGTAGTAGTAGTTATTATTAAATCGAGTGGATCTGACACAGATTCTAAAGATACTCGGAGCGAATGCTTCTTTGTGTCTACTCGTTGGTTTAACATCGTTAGAGTTAATTTTAGTTTAGCGGTCTTCACCGGACAGAACAAAACACGACCTCATTTTCGTTAGATTTCTGGGCTTCAGAAAAAGATAGCTAGAGTATGTTTTGCATTAGTTTTACTTGGGTTTTTCAATTCGAAATATTTACTTAATAACCTTATGTTAGTCCGTTTAAATTTGTGTTAAGTGTTGTTTACCTTAATATTTTCTTATCTAATCTTTGACAAAATTAATACGTAAGAGAATATATAAAGTAATATTCAATATATTCAATAATTAGAGAGTGCCATATTGTACTTGGTATTAATTGCAAGTAGATAAACGTTTTATTTACCAATACTAGATCCATATTGTTTTTAGCAAGGGATAGTTCTCAAGTTTTATCGAAAGTTGTGTAATATTATAGTGCGCTTTGACCTTTAGTTCAGTTTTACGTTATCCGCGTTATCCATAGTTTTACATATCGCGCAGTACCTGTACAGCTATTCTTTCACAATGTATAGCAGTATTAATAAATAAATTATTTTCATAGGAGACACTTCAGCGAATATATAATTAAGTTATCCCGAAACAACGAGATCTTGAAAGTTTGCCTTAATATCGAACGGTTAATCGATTAGAATAAGGCGGATAAAGGAGTGGTTTAATTGTCAAAAGTGGTGAGAAAAGTGAATTTCATTCTTGAAAGGGTAGAGAAATAATTAGTCTTAAAAAGAATGATGCTTGTGTGAGTCCAGTTATGCTACATTGCAATATGTTTTTCCAGAATGTTGAGATATCCCAGATCTTTTCATCAAACAAAAACGAATTCTACAAACATACAAAACATTTAAATTATAGAATTTTCTGTAGAAAATATTTCAGTCAATCTCTTAAGAATAATATTCAGTAATGTTCAATTTAAAGAAAACATAGCCAAGTGTATTCATGACGGTCATTGGTCTGTTTTTCTAACAAATCTGATAAAAACGAGTTAAAAATAAAATCACAGTTCTTTAAGTACATTAGTCATCGAAGTCTCTCTCGTATTATTACTTTCTATTTTCCTCGAATCTTTTGTTTGGTCTTGAAAAAAAGTTAGAGTTATTAAACGTTACTTTTTGTGATCGAGTTTATTTTAAAGGCTCAAATCGAGTAAGAAAAAAAGTGAGTTTTTGACGATTTCTCAAACGCCTGGGATAAGGCTGTGCGATAGGATGGGGACATACAATAATATAAATTGCAAATATAATATTGCACAAACACATATATATTTAGAAAACACAAATGTCCGGCTGCGCGATCTCACCGTTTAACGGCCCTATTCGTACTTTCGTACACGCAACAAACGCAGTCTCGTTTAACTGTACAAAACGGATAATTAACGAAACACATGGAAAAATTCTCGATTAACAAACACTCAGTTCTCGACTCATCCAACAGCTAAAATTACTTAAAATATTTAAATTGTCCGCTCGATCAGCTTCACTTGGCGCATTTTTCTCGCCAATTACGAGCTCGTATTATCTGCGTTCAGTTGAAGCAAGCGTTTAGTAAATACAGAGAGAGATGGCTTGATCTGTACAAAATTATTTTCTCTACAAAAAAGGAGAAGACAACACCAGGTTCACGCGCTTTCGTATCCAGATAAAATTCAGACATTAACATAAAATGTTGCTTACACTTCTATCTTTTACACTATCTTTTACAAGAATGATATCAGAAAGTTAGGCCGAGTAAGAATAATTTATTCCTGCAAAAATAACAATGCTAAAATGTAGCAAGCGGAAGCAAGTAAAATTACGTACTGAAAGGGCAATGTTTTGTACGTAAATCCCAAGGCCTGGCATTTTTTTAGATGTACCAGAGATTTTAGTCTAGCTTTCGTTACGAGTTTTTTTAACTTATCCTGAAAAAAAAAATAGGCAAAATTCAATTGGCTGTAATTTCAGCAAAAGTAATGCTATCGAAACCACTTGAGAAGCATTTTGCAGAGAAGTATATTATTGCTTTCGATCCTCGGCTAACAATTTATTGTTTACACCGAGTCGCACCTCTGGAGCGCTTCTGGAGCGTTCAAATCGTCCTGTCACGGCTCAATCGCAACTCACTCGGCTGATCACTGAAGCTCCAATACTCCAGATACTTGGAATAATCGCAGAGTTGCGACTCGGTGTGAAGAAACCTAAGAATCGTATACAATCAATGGGCATGACGATATTTGGAAAAGTCGCTTCCATCGTTCACCGGCGAACTTTGTAATCAATCCAATAAATCTCAGTTTTTTGTCTTATTGTTATATCTATGTTAATGTGTGTCTTTAAAATAACACTAGAGAAATTTTATAATATATATACATCATGAAATATTTACATCAATACATGTGGCTGTCTTATTAATATATATGTACAATATTTTGTCTGCAATTTCTGGAAAATATTTTGCAAAAAGCTATATATATATATAATAAACATGTCACAAAAATAAACAATCTTAATATATTATTTCACAAGATTAAAATATATAGCTGAGAGCAAATGTACAAAAAAATGTCATTAGGACGATGAGATCTCAGATGAAATTCTTTAACTGGAATTTTTTAACTAATTATCGTAATGTAATATGTACATTATTACAAAAATCATACATAATAACGAAAGATATTTCTCTGGCATTGCAAATTACGCGATTGATCATTTCTAAGATATAATCCGAAATTCTGTCTCTTGTTTACGAAAGCTTGGAATTCTTCTGTTTAGAGGACAAAAGCATGGATTTCAACTTATTACTTTGCAATAAGTTATACGAGCCGTACGTACAAAATTTATGGGATAAAAGTGGGATGTAAAAAGCCCTGAAAAACGGATGTGATCTGTAACACAAATAATAACAACAACAATAGGCGATATCAGATGAGAAAGTAGCTTTGCTTTGTTACTCTATTTAATCGCAACTGTACTCTAAGAGCAGAGATATTTTCAACTTACTTCGATGCATCTAGAAATTTGGAAGATTTCACAATGGTAAAATGGTCACTTAAGTGGGAATAATTCGGCTCCGAGGCCGTCTCGGTGCCCACATCCAGGTCTAACAGAAAGTGACATTTGTCGAGGTTAATCTGAAAATGAAAGAGCAAAAATCAGTCATACGTACAACAGCAACGTTTTGTCCCTACCTGCAGAAAACAAATACTTACATAACGTGATGTTTCTTCTTTGTTCAAATCGTTAAAATGCGGTTGTATCATACTCGTTGCATTCTCGTGGTCCAGGAAAGGTTGGGGTAACTGTCCCCTGAACTCCGACCTCAAATATTGCAACTTCCAACTGAAAGTAGTTGAAACGTTACGCAGAGAAGAACAAAAGCACAAATCAAACGACAAGCGACGTTGCAGTCTCAACGATAGTTCAACAATGAAAGATTTGATTATGTAGAAAACTGAAGTCAACAATTTTGCGAACCACTCACTTGCTGGACGGGAAGAAGAAACTGCTGGGGAAGCGATGCCACTCTTTGCCGACGCAGAAATTTACGTTAACGTCGTTGGGCACTGCGCCCTCGGCGCCCAGTTTGTTCGCCTCGGTCATAACTTCCATAGGAGCGTAATACCCTGGCGCAAGAAACGAATATCTGTTAAAAGTTACAATTGGCGGACTAAACTCTGCGGATGTTGTTGTACTTAAGGGAGATGTTCAATTGAGAATGAAACCGTGTTTCGTCGCAAGGTACGAACCTTTATAAATCGCCAAAGACCTCGACAGTCCCAAGAGACCGCACGTTAGTATCGCTAGAACGGTGATATGCGCGGTATATTGTAAGTAGTGACAACTGATGTGCGACGGATTGAGCTTCGTTCGAACGAAGAAGTACAACTTCTGCGCGATATCCACCGTTATAGCGCCTGCCAAGCAGATCATAGGGTATATCGGAAACAAGAACCGTTCCTCCTGTTGACAACATTCGATTCGTCAATCTCCCTGTTCCCTCCGCGGAGACCAAACGACAGGAAGGAGCGATGCGCATTTGAGCAAAGCTGATCCTTTCGTCGAAGTTGCGCGTCCAAATGAGATCTTTTCTTTACGGACACTCCGGACGGAAACCGTCGGGAGAAAACCGTTCCCGTTTCAGTCTTATTGTTTGAATTTGAGGATGGAAACGTCTCTTGTTCAAATGCACTCGCTTCCTTCTCGTGGTCGATTCATTGATACGCACCTTGTGCGGCTGAAAGAAAAACACGAGGATCCACAGATATAAGGGAGCCAGTGAATACCAATAAGAAAGACACAAACGGTCTCTCGGCCGTGCCGGCACAATTAGCCATGCTAGAAGCTGGAACGGTAATCGAAGTTACGTAATCAGATGGTGAATGTTTTATTTTAGCTATGGATGTTACAAAGGAAATCCAACTCGGAAGATCGCAGAGATATCAAAGATGCTCACCAAGCCTAAAGGCGCTAACATTGCGCCAATAAAGACAAAGTTGAAATTCAAGAACCCGTTGATGATGTAATAGCTGAACGGTTCAGTGCCGTAAATGTTGGGCCCGTGGCTAGTGAAGACATTGTACAATATAATGTTTAATGGCGCGGCGACGAATTTGCCAAAGTACATGGAATCTACCCATACCATTGGTATCGCAATTACGACAGCGGATATGACAAACCACTTGATAAATCTCAGCCATTCCTGTTTCTGCACCAACATTTCGACGGCAATAGGAAGCCTGGGGAGAACAGAAGCGAGACGAATATATTGTTTTCTCCCTTCGTCACGGTATCCTCCGTATAAGATATTGTGCTCGTGTTATAAAACAATATAAGATACCCGAGTAGTGCAGCAAATGGCCATCCCAGTAACGAAGAGATGGCAGTAGCGAATATAGCCAGTTCATATTGGCGGGCGTACCAAGCTGCTGTAGCGACAGTACTGAAGTACCTGCAACAAATAACGATATAGTTTGCAGATATGCCAATGAGATCTTTCAAATACACATGGTTCTCAGTGCAGATGCCTTAAATAGGCAAAATTGGATCCCGGATGGAAATGTTATACTGAACATATATTGAAAATCCATTGGAAAATTTCTCCCAACCGATTCGATTTCATTATCATCGACATTCTAGCGATTTTACTTTAAAAAGTCACGCAGCTATCAATTACATTCAATACATTTTTATATCTGTTATTTCAACAATCTTTTATTACTTATCAACGGTATATCTTAACTTTCCTCATACTTGACTACGGTATTATATTGTATTTCACGAGGAAAATTCCAATTCATTTACATATTCATGAATTTCCCAACAACTCTCGTTTCGATTTTCGTTGATTTCGTACCACCTCCAGCAAAATACTCCCATTGAGGAATCTTATTCGAGGTACTTACATTGAGAAAGACGATGGTAAAAATGCAGCGCTGGAGATGTACATTCCAGAGCTGAGAATAAGGAATACCAATGTGAGTCTCGCTATGTGGGTCCCAAATTCGCGACAAACGTTTCTGGAAAGATACAAGATCGTATATATTGCGGGATAAAACCTCGTGTAACATAGGCTTGGGAAACGAGACATACTTGTAGAAGTATACTTCGGATAACGCACAGCCTACAGATAAGAGGCATCGTATGAAGTAGAAAACCAGCACAGGATTGGGTTCCAATAAATAATGGTAAACCTTTGCTGGTACTATGTGCACTAATAGATACATGTACGAACGCAGGGCATATTGGGGACTGTATTCCCACGTCTGCTGGCCTGTTCCATAGAGCAGATAGTGACTCTGAGACAACACAGAGCATAGATACGGTGAATTGCAAATTAACTCCGCGAACGTTGCTGTAGGTGGTCCACTCGCGGAATGTACAACGAGACTCACCGGCTCCCAGTAATTGAACGTCTCATCGCAGTCTGTGATATGACTCCATATAGCGGAACAAAATCTCGCCGACAGCAGTAGTTTGAAGGCCGTATCATAGCCAGGGTGAATGAGTCCCGCGTCGGAAGATTCCTCCGGCCTAAAAATCATATCGCTTAGCACTTTTTCTCTCACCTGTAAATGTATATTACTGGAACTTCATGTGAGCACGTATCGTACACACTGCTGGCCGTAAAACTTTTCAAAGCCAGTGACACAAGAGGGGTTAGCCGGTGCACGGATTGCGAAACGTCTCACGTATCAGGAGTATCTCGTGTGTCACTAACTGCCGAGCCATGCGAAAGAAACGAAGAAGTGAGAAAAGATTTCACGTACTTGGAAAATCTCCTTCCATTGATCTTTTTTAATTCCCTCTTCGACAAAACGAGCTGACGTTGACGTTGATTGGGCGCCATGATCTTCTCTCGCGGACCTCATCTATTATCTACTCCAGGCCGCATCGTTATCTATATGTATACATGCGTTTATCAATGTTAAAAATCAATACCTCGGATAATCGAAGGTGTGATTAAAATTTCGCGAACGTATGTGCGTACACCAGGTATATCTGTATATACTATCGCAAATATGGCGCGCACACGCACATATACATATACACACACACGCGTGTCTTTCGTTTTTAAATGAAATAAGTGAATATGTACAAATAATTACGCGGTGGTGGACGCTAACGAAATATATGAAGTTATATTTAACTCTTATATTTAACTCTTTGTAATTTCGATCGCGCATAAAATAGTAAACGGAGAGAGAAATAGTATTTTATATTTAATATAGAGTATTTACGCGCACTCATACGTGCATGCGTGTGCAGTTTCCATAGATACGCAAACGGTGAAGATGGAGATTGAGCCGAAATTTACATTTGTGCCACTAAGTGAAAAAAAATATGTTGGAATCGACGATAAAAATATTCAAGAGTATCTCTGCAAATGGTGATGTCATTCTGATTTTATTAATATGACTTATATGATACAAATATTTATTTTACTTAGTACTAAGAAGTGGAACTTTTTACAAACTCTCACTAACACATTTATATATATTAAATAAACTTATTATTGTTATACGAATATAATAATTTATATTTATGATTAATTATTAAAATAAGTGAAAACTTATATTTATTTGCAGGGGCTTGAAGGGTAACTTTGTTATTCAGAATTTTTCATTCAATGAACCATTTCAACATTATCACAAGTATCAGTTGGTTGATGTAAGTTTATACATATATATATTTTTTTAAATAGAAAAGTACAGTTTCGACATCTTGGTAAAAGGATGTTTATTTACAAGCTCTACAATTTCTATGTATAAGATACAAATAGAAGAAATAGACATTTGCTTTTTTAAAAGATAGAAATTTATATAATTTTTATTGTGAAATATATACATGTGTGTGTATGAATTTATAGGCTTTCTTTAAAGATGATTCTGTCGCAAAAGTAATATTATCAAAACAAGGTGATGCTTGGGTAAGACAAGGTATAGTAATCATAGCTTCTTCAACTGCATGAATAAATTGAACAAAAAAAAGATACTTATGATTACAGGTATACAAGCATCAAGCGTAGAGATAAAACAAGTGCCTTGCACAGTTTTAAATATGACATTTTTTAACAAACTAAAAGACCCAAGTAATGGGATAACATATAGTTCAGGAACAATCAGCAAAAGATATGATACACAAGTGGAAGACTTTCTGATATCTGACAATCTTCGTGGTGTAAGTCGTTGTGCTTTTTTAATAAAAAATTGCTTAACAGAGACTTTTTAAAATTACAAAAAAATGTACAACACACAGAAAAGGAAAGCAATGTTCAATATTTTTGTCTTTAAATATATGCAGATATCACTCCTACATGATAAGTATTTTCAGATGCTCTTGGATGAAGATTCAGAAGAATACAATTTGTATGCGGAGGACGAGAGGAAGGAATTCGTGTTCCGAATTTTTCAAATGCTCGTTCTTGGTGGAACGTTGTGTCAATTTGAAGACACGCTACAGCCATACCTGGACGTTACTAAAAGTATTTACAAAGATCTCGTAAGGTTAATATATTTATACTTCGTAAAATATCGATATATAAAATATTCCAATTAAATTTGATGCTATGTAATATTTAATGTTACGAACGTTTTTCCTCCAGGGTACAGAAGAACAATACTTCGAATGATTTGTTCATAAGCACTTTGGTGTTGGAAGTAATCGCAAAAGATAGCAAAGGTCAAGAATATTTTCCATGTAATACCAGTAATAGGCAAAATATCGCATTTCTATTAATACACGCCAATTCTCGCGAAATTACAACTTTCGTGCACCAATATGGTGGATATTGTTTCACGTAATATGTAAGATTATGTTATACACAGGACATATTTAATTTCTCATGTTAAGTCATTATTTTGTTTGTGTATAAAAGTTCTCAATCGCTGAAGTCTTAAAAATAAGGAACAATAAAGTTCTAAATACGGGATTCGCACGATAAAACCAATAATGCTTTTCATATTTCATACAAGATAATTTATTTAATTATAAATTAATAATTATAAATTCAGATCACAATTATACTAAAAAAAAAAAATATATATATATATCGCGTCATCGAATTAAATGACATTTTTGGCGCGAAAAGAATTATTTAATCATACTGCTGTTAGATTCTTAAAAAGGAAAAAGAACCTTACATGTATTCGCACTTTACAAATCAGATTAGTTGTACGTTTATCATAGGAACTAAACAAAGACGTAAAGATATTGTTTGAAAAGTACTTGTCTGTGCTAAGACAAAAATTAAATATTAGTTCTTTGATGTTTCTCGCATTCGTAAAAAGAGATATTTTCCCTCAACATCATAATGAAAATATTTTAGCCCGTTGTTATTTACGACTTA